ACACAGTGACAAGCTTCCCACTGATCAAGTACGCACATGGACAGTGTCTCATGTAATGCTGATAGCATCTCGTTAGATGAGGTCACTGCAGAGATGGAAAGTATAGAGGTAAAGGTATGAAGGCAAAGCAACTAGCACACCGAGTGAGCATGAAACACAAACCCACAGTGGACAAAGTGCTCCTACAGAGCTTAGCACCACCATGCGGTGGCAGCGGGTCTAGGATACCTGGCACGCTACGGCACCCATCGTGTCCTTTTGTCCTCCTTCTGCCCTAACTCTTTCCAATCTTCTTAGCATCCCTGCTCAGGGCTTTCTTGAAGGGCAATGGTCCTGGAGATGAATTCAAACCACATCCTTGGTCTCCCTGTCACATGGAAGCAGCTCTGTCCTGTATGGGGCACACCTCTGGAAAGAGTCCCTCACTCTCAGGGCCCGTGTCTGCCCAGGACCCCAGCATGGCTGCAGGTACTCCCCACCCAGCTTCGCCTCGCTACACCACAGCAAGATCTGTCTTCTACCCAGCCTGTCCAACCACAGCCATCTCCCAGCTCGGACAGCTGGACCTGGCAGCCCAGCCCTTTCGTCTGAGCCTCATGTCTCCTTCATCCATGACCACGGAGGGCCAGCTGCCAATGTTCACTGCAATCAACCATGTGTCCCAAGGGTGAGAGACAAAAATAGCCTTCTTCGAGGTGCTGATCACAAATGGGGCCTGCTAGGAGGCTCTTTAAACAGAAGAGGGTGGGGCTTTTACCGGGACACAGAGTAGGTAGGGAATCTATTCTCACTAGCAATGAGAAGGAGGTCTCTGTGCCAAAAAACGCATGTTGCCTTGTGCATCTTTGTGGGGCGTGTTCAGAAACAGACAGCAATAGAGAGAAAAGCAGCTCCCACAGACACAGAGGCCAAGTGAGAGGCCACACCAGCGCAGAGGCCTGGCACGCAAAGGGTGAAGCTTTTAGGCGAGCAGCAGCCAGTGATCTCAGCTTCCCCCAGTCCTAATGCTCCTGAAAGGCTCTCTCCTGCTCCCTGTAATTGGGCATCAGTAGTTAATGCAGTATTGACTGCATTACACGCTCCCGTGCCTCCCCTCGCTAATGCCAATTGCATCACCTTGTACAGTCACCGGCTTGCTTAGCCAATAGCCGTTAAAAGCAATCCAAATCATGAATCATATGGGAAACTTTTAGCAAGACACCGCCATCCAAGGAGACAATTTACAGTTGAGTTAATCTGGGTACATTAGTGAGACATGGATTCTGGACGACAGACCAATTTATGTTGTTTCCCTGTACCCCCCCCCCCTTAGTGCTCTGTGGGCAAATGAATGGAAGAGCAGAGAACTAGGAGAAACACCTGCCTCTTTACCCAATACTCTGGGAGGGGGGCAGGGGGGACCCATCTTTACAGACTGCCTGGCTGAGTTTAGGCAGGAACGGGAAGCAGCTGTACATGCTGTTCAGGACTTGAGACGCCTCATTCCCAGCAAAGAAAAGGTGAGCTATGGAAGGTACAGATGGAGACAACCCTTTCTAGGCACCAGGTGAGTGATAGATCTGATTTCTACCCTGCTGGTCTCAGAAGGCCTTTAATAGTTCTACTGTGCTCTGCCTTCCTGGTAATGGGCTGGTGTCTGGCATGGCCCAGCATCAGGGTCTACTGTCCCAGAGTCATGGAGAATTGGGCCACACTGCCAGGAAAGGTCCCCAGGGCTCTCTGTGGTGTAGAGCATGATAAAATAGCTCAGGGGGTCCTGCTGGTGCCCAAGCTGGGGCTGGTCAGTACCTGAGCTAGCAAATGCTAGCCTCTCCAGTGAACCACGTCAGCTGTGGGGGCTGTGCTCCTAGTGGTCATTAACAATTGAAGACTGTTGTCTGGTCCTTCTCTTAAGCATGTTTTACTTATTAAAAATGCTCTAGGAATCATGTCTGGTGTTTAGTTCCACAATCTGCTGGCTGCTTCCTGTGGTCACTGCAGCTGTCCTGCTGGGCATTTCCAGAGGCAGTTTAGACCAAACCTAGCCTTTCTCCACCACACCCCAGGAACACACCAGGGCCCACCCTTAGCCAGGTGCCCTCAGTGTCCTCTCCTGCCCAGGTGCCTGTGGCCCAAGCTCCAAGAGTCCTGTCTATCTCCCATCAAAGGTTTCCTCACCAACAGCTAGGCCTACTTGATTCTTAGGGTCTAGGACAGTAGCTCCCTTTACTCCCCTGGGACTTGAAGTCTCTCCCAATGCCCACAGCCTGGTGCCAGCCAGTTTCAGGTGCCAGGAGAAGAGAGGCTGTGTCTCCGGGAAAGTTGGAGCTTGGCTCCCTTTCACTGACTGACAGACCCAGCAGCATTTAGAAAGCCCGGACCCTGAGTTCCAGTAAAGTGGAAATAGCTAGGCCAAGAGCAAGCGTCCAAATGAAAGCAATTAATCTTAAAACCTGAAGTTTAACCATTTGCAAAACAGATCTTTCTGTCTCTGTGGTGACCCTTCACCGCTCGACCTAATGGATTACTTTATTAATAATGCACTGTGCTTAAAAGCAAAAAAAAAAATTTTTTTTTCTGACGATTCAATACTTCAGAAAGTCTCTTAAACCCGTTGCTACGGCAAAACGATTGATATTTTATTATCTTTCAGAAGTGCAACATGAAAGCCCTGCAGCCCAGCAGAGCGAGAGCTTTGGTCCTCGGCAGCTGGCAGACCTGACTTCAACCAAAGGAGCCCTAGCCTCTCCCGACAAGATGCTGTCAGGTGGAGAAAAGGCATGGGGGGCGGCTAATAGGAGCCCCAAGTCCCTGCTGCAGCCAGACAAAGGGTGCTGTGTGCAGTCTGAAGAGCACACCCCTAGGCCCAAGGAGGCTAACGCTGCCAACCTGGTCAGATGGCCACCTGCTGGGAGGGACAAGTGTACAGGAAGAAGTTAGGCAGCGAGTGTGGAGCAGCAGGTGAGCCCTTTCCCCCTCTCCCATGGTAGGTGCCACCTTCCTGGTTGTGGAACTGGGAGAGGCTAAGCTCTAACAGACAGTGGCACTCAGATTTGTGGGTAGAAAGGATGCTTTTGGAGGCAAGCTCTAGGCGGGTTGGGACAAGAGTTCCTGGCTGCTCAGAACCTCAGCACCTGCCTTTCTTGTGCTATAATAGGCCCCAGAGCCCAGTAGTGTCAATAGTAGCAGGCAACATATTTCGACTGGTCAGGTTGGGGACCAGGGGGTGTCCTGAGCTCTCCTCTACCACTGTGGCAGAGACCACAGGGAACATAACACTCAGATGGCTCGGGTGCACTGCAGTTTGGAGACTCAGAAACCCTCCTATTCAGGGCTCATTTGAACAGAGCCATATTATCATGAAGCCCAAGGGGTTCTAGGGGACCTAGACAGAGATCCACCTCCAGACCCTGGCTGGAGGTGAGGTGCCTGCCATCTTGCTAGCATGTGACCATCTCCCTGGCCTGAGGACTGTCATAGATGGAGCCTGGGTCTTTGGGATTTCTGGTTTAGGCCTAGAGAGCCAAGCCTGCTGAATAACATCAGTTAAAGATGCACTCTGATTTCCACGTTCTTCCCACAGGGTGACCCTTTGCACTGGCTTCTATAAGCTCTTCCTTTTTACAGAGAGGGAAAAAGAAGTCTAGAGATGGTCATGAATGACCCTACGTAACATGGGGTTAGTGATGAAAAGAGCTAAATTAAGTTCTCCTCCCTCCCTGTCTTCTCTTTTCATTCTATATAAAACCACACCAGCCCAGCCCTCTGACAGCCCACTTGGACTCCAGGGCAAGGTCCATGAATAGAAGTTCACGGTGAAGCCAGCAAAGAAGCACTCAGTTCCCCCTCTCTCCTCTCTTCTTACATGCATGTGGAGAACTCACCAGCCCCAGGGTTCCCCTACATTTTAAAGACCCCTCCCTGCTGAGGCCTCAGAAGGCACAGGTAGGCGGGGCAGCAGCACAGGGCAGCTGCGGGTGAACAACCTCCTGTGTGACCTTGAGCAAGTCACTTAACTTTGGATCTTCATAAGCAACTATAGGCTAGGAGCACCTCCGCACCGGTGGGCAGCGGGGCAGGCCCAGTGGGGGATGCCCACCGACTCTTGGGGAACCCACCCTTTCAGCAAGGGCTTCGACAATCACAGCCAGCTTTCTTATAGCACCCACAAGACACAAACCTTACCTAAAAGGCAAAAGCGGCCACTGCCAAGGAGAGGTCACTCTCTGGCCACAAGGGACTATATGTAGTTGGAATATATACTTCCTTTTATCCCAAAGGGGGCTGGGAGGTGTACCTAACTGTCCAGGACACCTCGGACACTTCCCCAAGGCTCTCCCAGCCTGGAAGGCTCCGGGATTTGTGGGGCCACCTGCCAGTGACGTCCAGCAGCCATGGGCTCCAGTGTTCTGACCTCTGGGCCTTGCGGTCTTCTGTGGGCGCACCCAGGCTCCCCACAAGGAAGGTCCATGCCACTGTCGCTGTTGGCAGGCGGCGGGACACTTTTTCCTCTGGGCCAAACTCTGGGCTCGGCGCTCGGGGAGACAGAGCTAGCGGGCCAACCCAGATAAGTCATGCTCGCGGGCAGCTGTACCCCCGCGAGGGCCCACCCGGCCTTCTGTCTCATGCGGGGCACCCCAGCTTTGCGCTGTGCTCCCGCGCTTCCAAGCTTTGGAGTCCAGTTTTCCCCAAGCCGCTGATTTGCCCGGCACTCAGAGCCTCTCAGGTTACGCGGCCCGCGCAGGCTGATGGCTGCGCGAAGAGCTGCAGGCGCCGAGACCGAGCGCCCCACGCGAGCCGCCGCGGCGCGGAGATTCCGCAGCCGACCCTCCTCGCGGCCCGCAGAGCAGCACATGCCGGCGCTCGGCTCGCGGCGGGAGTCCGGGCTGCTTACCTCGCCCGCCCCGCGGCTCGGCCACCCCCGCGGAGCCCGGCGAGTGTGCCCGCGTCCCGAGTGTGCACCCGCTCGCCGCAGCGGGGGGCGTGGGGTGGGGGCGTCGGGACCCCCGGCCGCCACCTACCGTCCTCCTTGTCCAGTACCATCATCTCGGGCGCTCCGTGTCCAGCCGCAGCTCGGCTTGGCCGGGAGAAGGGCGCCGACTCGGGCGCGCTGGCGGGGCGGTCGGTCCTCGGGCAGGCAGCGAGCGGGCTCTAATTACCCGCTTGTCCGGCTCTTAACCTAGATTGCACTCAGCTAGAATTACATTCAGGAGTGAAGCACTTCACAGATACAAAAGCAGTCTCACCTACTTTTGTGCCTCAGAATTGCAAGGAACTACGAACTGCAATTTAGAAAGAGAGAGAGGGAGAGGGAGAGACAAGAGGGAAGAGAGGATCAGAGCTGTTTCTTTGATTCTCACCTTCTAAATGGCTCAATTTGCCCAGTATAATCTGTCTTAATGTAATTGCATTTGATAGCTCATAACCCTGGCTCTGGCAACGACACAGCTTTCAGCCTCATAAAGTGTTTTCCCCTCGGATTTAATCTGAATCTCAATCTAAAATTATATTCAAAGAGATGGGGGAATCTCGGCGGCCGCCTCCCGCTGCCTTTCTCCCTCAATGTATGAGGTTTGCACTCCTGCTACTGAATAAATGCACACATTTCCCGAGGCCCCCTCCCTCCTGGGTTAATGGGGAGTGGAGACGCGCGGCTGCCCGGCTCCGCAGCGCCACCTGGAGGTCTTTCGGCCCCATTTCTGTGCGTGGCTCCGCAGGGGTCCTAAGGCCCAGGTCTTCGATCAGTACAGTGAAAGGCTCAGACTGTTGCTTCCAACCCCTTGGCCTTGATTTCTGCTTTCTCACAAAGGGGATGTTTCTCAGATCCCCTCCCTCCCTCCTGCAAGACCTGCCCAGGGCTTCTGGCTGTTTTGCAGATTGTTGGCAAAGTTAACCCTCTGCAGGACAGAAAACTTCCCACTGTGAGTCCTACAGCACCACCCCTGACCTTGCTCAGCAAGTCCCCAAGAGCATTCTGACCCATGGAAAGGGGGAGCTTGCCTTAGCTCCTCTCTGAGCAAGTGCAACACTACCTCAAAAGCTTTTTTCCTTCCACAAATATTTATTGAGCATGTATTATGTGCCAAGCACTTTTCTCAAGCACTGGGAACATAGCAGTGAATAAAATCAAGATTCCTGCTGCTGTGACTGAGCTGACAATTCTCACACCTTAACTCATAAGGCAGGAAGCATGGCACTGCCCCATCTCTTCTCTTGGACCCTGCTTCTCCCCAGAGTCCTGGGGCTGGTGCCTGGGCCACATACTCCAGGAAGGCCACCCACCTTTAAGATCCAAGCATCCCTTATCCCAGACAGTACAGAGCTCTGGGGTAAAAATAATTGTTCTCCAGATCATGGAGAGCTCCAGAAAGGCATGTGGCTTGGTTCTGGGAGTCACTTCTAAGAACTGGACCTAGGCAAAGAGAAGGGAACAAGTCCCTGGAGGGGCAAAGGGTCACCAGATGGAATTCTACCGCCTCTCTGCCAATTAGTAATGGCACAAGGGGGTGGGGTTGCCACTTTCTCTATGACCTCAGGTGAGTGTCAGGTGGGCAACCTACTCTTCTTCTCTGTAAGGTTGTTGCCTCATTATCAGGTAAAATAAAGTATATGTGTTCTGTAAATTGTGATTCTCTAGAAAATGAGCAGGATTATCTGGTACAAAGAAGACCTCAAGACTAGGTCTTGCCCCTGACACCTGGGGAGTCCCAGGGTTTGAGAAGGGTGGAGAATGGGAGGGCTACAGCCCATCTTCTCCTCTCCAGGCAGGAAGACAGGCTTTGAGGAAACAAGAAAATAGCTGCTTCTAATGAGATGCCTCATCTGCAGCTCAGAGGGTTTTGCTTTCCCCTTCATCTTGAATACTTAATCCTAATAGTCCTTGAGTATATTTGATGTTAAAGACATCATTTTGCTCAGACTCAGTGTCCCTCAGGACTGCAAGTTAGATCTCTCCCCTGCCACTGCAGCCAAAGCTATGCCCTCCAGGTCGGAGGGGGCTTCAGCACTGCTGCTACGGGCATATTTGGTGCCAGCCCCTCACCCTGGGCTTCACTGGGGACCAGATGGCATAGCAAGGACAGGACGCCACAAGGCCAGCTTCTTGCTACAAAAACCTCTGCTCTACCTGGAAGAACTGGCTCCATAAGGGCCTTAGCTTTACCTGTGGTCTTCAGGGACTGCCCCTCATTTTCAGAATCTGGGCCTGACCCACAAACTACGACTCAACAACTGGCCAGGGGCCATTTGCCCGCTCTCTTGTTGTGTCTGTGCCTCTTTGTCCCAACATTACAGCCCCCAAGGTACCCAATTAGCCACATGTCCAGTATCCTTTGGGGGAGTCAGGAGCCCTGTGTCCCAAGCCTGGGGTGCTGAGCAGTGGGCTGCAGGAGTTAAGCAGGGCATGTCAGCAGAAGTAGAACTATGTATGAGATGTACTTGTGCCCACAACCGGCTCTCTCTGCCCCCAGCTGACAACGTGGTGCTTCCAAGATAATATGGAGAGGGGCCACCAGAGTTGGGTCAGAGTGGCACAGGGCTCCCGTGACCTGAGCTCCTCGCTAGGAAGAAGCCTGCAGAGCTTCAGAGCTTTGATAGGGGAAGACTGGAGCCTCACTAGCTGGGACCCTGCCTCCTTAGCTCACTGGTAACTCCCACCCCCATGCTCACCTCAGTGGAGGCCCAGGTACACACCCACAACAACAGAGTGGAATCCTCAGAACCCCTAGGGCTGGAAGAGACAGTTTTTACTCAACACATTCCACAGGTGATGAGCATGTACTCTCACTTCTACATGCCAAGAGCACTCAAAAATGTCCTTGAGATGCCTCTGGGAAGCCAGTTGATCAGTCCCCAAGGTTATTTCAAGGAGAAAAAGGGGTGCTACTGGATGCTTTACAAATTTCTGGGCAGGTCCCAGCAGTATGTCCTTCTGCCTGGCAGGGAAGTCCTGAGCAGAATTCCTGCACTGGGGGGAAGGGGAGTTGCAGGACTGGGTGTCAGAGGGCCTGGGCAGACTAGATATTCCAGAACTTTTCACTGTAGCTGGCTGTCAGATGTGCCTCAGCCTGAGGCCCCTGCTCTCAACAGTGCAGCTGTCTACAAGATGGGGTTACAGGCTGGACTCAGAGGCAAGGCTCAGAGAGGTATTCAGGGTCCCTTCCCCGTGGCCACTACAGTTTACAGGATAGAGTAAACCTACCATCCTTACTGTGCAGCCAGGACAGGATGTCTGCTGGCCAAGTTCGCATGCCCTGCCCTGTCCCCTACTACACAAAAGCAGTTAACGCACAGGAATTTGCAACCAGCCCGAGTGGTAAAGTGCTCAGTTTTAAACTTTCCCTGTTTCAGATTTTAGAAAACACAGACAGGCCTCCTGAGAAACTGCAGTCATAAATCATTAGGCCTTTTAGAGGTCCAAGCCAAATCTGCACCCCAGAAAACCAGTCCACTGTATCCCTTGAAGATGGCCAATCCACCACTGCTCATCAAGCCCAGAAAGTTGTGAACTTGCCCCAGAGAGGCTTCCTAAACTGCACTTTCAGTGCTAAACCTGAAGCAATTGACCACCACAGGGGAGGTGGCTGGGGACACTGAAAAGGAAAGCCAGAAAGTCAGAACCTTTCCCTGCTGACCAACAGCTGCCTCCCAACCCCTAATTTCTCAACCCCCGGCCCCACCACTTCACTCTCTCGGCACTAAAGCCTATCGCAGACCCTGGGAATGGGCCACAGGCAGCCAGAGCTATGAGTTCTCCTAAGACACTGGTAACACAGCTAACCCTGTTAGCTGGATCTGGACTGGATCCAGATTTTCTGAGGACCAATGCTTACTAAGGTTTGGGGTGGAGAAAAGGAATACAAGATTACTAATGCAAATTTACCACCAGGGACCTGGCAACTGGAGGACCTTGAGGACCCAGAACTTCATTAACTTCCAGGTAAATCTGCCTCTGATACCGTAGGTTATATGGCCCGAGCACCTGCGGGATCACCGATCACCGAGGTGCGTCCTACCACAGGCTGGGTAAACGAAAGGCCTGTGTCCTTCCCAGGTCTGCAGGAGCCGGAGCAGTAACATTCATTCTGCAGCCAGAAAGTCCCTAGCCTGGGCCCCAGGTCCATGCTGACTGGACTGCATCCTCACTCAAGTTGTCTGGGCATCCGCATGCGGGTTCCCTTCCACATCAGGGTGTAGAAGGTGGACATGCAGCCACCTAGGCAGGCCCAACGCCTGGTACCACCAGGGAAGCCCACGGCTCTGATGGCAGAGGCACTCCAGTTGCCTGCGATGCCCCAGGGCCAGTGAGAAAGTTCTTGGCCCAAGTGTGCGTGGCTGCCGATCTCCAGGTGGTCGGGGAGACTTCCTTATCCGGTCAGCAAACCTGCAGCACCCCTGACCTACACACGTGAGTGCGCACACCCAGCTTCAGAGCTTGTGGGGACCCGGCCACCAGCAGCCCGAAACGGCGGGGACAGGAACCTCAGCCGATCCCGCGCCGCCGCCTTCCAGCACCCGCGGGTCCCGGACACCCGCACCGCGCGCCGGCACCTACCGTCCTCCCGGTCCAGCACCATGGTGCTCCGGCCGCGCGAGCCAGGCACCTACCGAGGACGCCTGTCGCCGCCCGCCTGCGCTGCTCCCTGCGGCCCAGCAAGGGCTCAGAGCCCCGCGAACCGCGGCCGCCCACCGGGGTGGACGGACAGGCGCCCGGAGCGCAGCCCCTCGGGCAGGGCCCGGGGAAGAGCTAACCGGACGCGGCGGGGGCGGGCGCCGGCGGG